GGGCTAGGGGAGGGGTAGGTGGGCAGTTTCCCAGAAACCTAAATTGATCTCAAATCTTACCTATGGAGGTATATTGAAACTGTTGTAAATGTTCATATATCTGACGGTGAACTCGGATCCCAAATTCGGTGAGCACAGACTCCAGGTTTTTTCCATCCAGAGAATCCTGGATGAACGAAAGCTGCGAGTAAATAAACTCACACGTCTTGGCGCATGCCTGAAAATAGAGGTAGAACCAAAGAGGTTAGTGTTAGATAACATCGAGTGAAGCCAGATTGGACACCTTATGAATTTTACACAACGCATTATTTCCATAATGGAACGAGACTGGAATGTAGAATGAGGCTAGAATAGCTGAAGAACCAAAACTACAGAGCGCCAGTTATGAAGAGAACACAGTAGAGAGTTAAGCACTGATCTGCAGTGATTAGGGTTAAGCACTGAACAGAAAACGGTTAGCTTTCAAATATTGTAATGGGGTATGGCATATATAAGAACATGTATATTTTAAAAATTACTGGATTTGGCAGCTAGTCCTCGATGGTGTAGTGGATATGGATGTAGGCTATAAAGCAAGTGACCAGGGTTTAAAGCATCCCAGTGGAGTTTTTTAATTTCACTTTTATATTTAAGCAATAGAAAACGTTTTCCGTGTTTGCATAGCCTGATATAAACACGAGAGGGGTTAGGAGAATTCGAGACAGTTATGTAAACCCGAGACGAAGGCGAGGGGTTGTATAACTGTCGAGAATTCTCCCAATGTTTCGAGTGTTTATATCAGGCTATTCAAACACAGGAAAAAAGTTTTCTATTGCTTTTATAAAATAACTTTCCCGAGAAAAAAACGCAAAACTCTTTGTATGGCACTGATTAAAAGAGAAATTCTTACCAGTCGCAAAATCTTGTCCACGAAGTCTTGCACGCGTAATCAGCTCTTGTTTTGGAAAAAGATGCTTTGCAAAATACGGATTTTTGTCGCTTAAAATGTCAGCTTAAGCGAAGAAAAATTGACTCACCTTCTTTGTAACGATTTTCCATGTTTCAGCCGACGAAGGAATGGGTAAATAAAGTAAACTTGTCGAGTTTTGAACACGAAAACTTTTTCAAATTCGTGCTTGCGTGATTAGCGCGCGAAAAGATAAACAACTTGACGCCACAACCATGTTTACATACTCTCATGCAAACACTCCTCTCGGCCAATCAGAGCGCGCGTACTATCTTAGTTATTTTATAATACACAGTAAAGTTGGACTTAAGTTGTTCTTCATGTAATTTTACTGAAAGAAACAATCTGACTTCAGCCGATGTCACCTAATGCTAACCGTAGAAAGATCGAGCAGAATAATTTATAAGTTATCTTTACATCGTTAATGTAAATTGATACGTTATGGGGCCTAATATCTAAGGGAGGATAATTTTGCCTCTAACCTGGGATATGGAGTGCCTATGTAGAAAATCCCAATCATCTTGAGAAATGCAACTTATAGAAAACATGGACAGATATGATAGTTCCCTGTGTATGCTCAGTGGCGCCTGGCACAGGCTACCCATCTCGTGCTTAGCGCTGGGAGTATTCAATACGCTTTCCAGCCCTTGGCTTTGGCTAGCGGCTACAAGTTTTCCCGAGCTTGCCGAGTACTTTGAGTAGCCGTTTCTAGGTATTCAAGTAGTAAGAACCACACGAAGAGGAGAATGGAAAGGGCAAAACTTCGTTTTCTATTTCGCACCAACCACCTACCCCGTCTAAACGCATCGACTAGGCTACTCATTAAGTCACATATGGTAATCAGACCATTGCTCGGCTCTGACGCGGCGTTAATAACGTTGTTTTGTGAACTAGATCAGCTTACCACTGTCCGCTGTACAAGCCCAAGTTCATGTTCTTCAGGTCTAAAATCAGATTTTTTCTGTTCAGCCGACAAAATGCTTTTGCACCAACCGGCCATTGACGTGAGAATCCTGAACAGAAACAAAAATAAAATAAGACTAATCAAAGAAAACTGGACACACAGAATAGAGAAAAGTCATTACGTCACGTTTCCACGGTTGTAAAATTTCTGGATCTCAACAAACTGTTCCGGCAAATATGACAGAAAAATACCCGCGAAGAAATTAATATGTGTGACTTTCTTGTGAATGATTGAATTCAGGAACAAACGGTAGCCCATACTTTTCTTCCACCCTTCGTCAATGCAAATGGGCGTCTCGGTTACTCCCTCCATATAAAGACTTTTGAGATCCAGAAATTGTGTTATCAAGGTAAGGTGAAGTCACACCTCTGTGTGTGCTGTATAGTAACACGGCACTTTGTCATGAGTTCCTTACGAGCTTTGGAGTTAGCCAATAAGAAAACATCATTAATGGTCACGAGTTCCTACCGATCTATGCCCGAGTCCAGTTTACTCTCCATCATATTCATGACCTCCTTCTTTTTCCGAACGCATTCTGCGTACACGGGTGATGACCTGTTTACGAGAAAAAACTAATGAAACCCGTCAAAAAAATTGATTGAAAATCCCCTCTGACCAAACTCTCATCATGCGTGCTGTAAAAATGAAGTGTAGCGATGAAGTGAACTGTGGGGTGCAATAAATACACGTTGAATGTTAAGGTAGTTAATGATGCGCGAATTGTGGGCAATGAATGAAATGTCCGCGCATACAAAACATCGAATCAGGGAATTTCTATTCCTTTTTATAAAACCTTCCAACTTTGGTTCGTCCTGTCAGGCCGTTGTTTACTTCGTCTTTCTTGGTCAGAAAGACTGTCAAACGGGGTTTTAACAGTTCAATAGAGAATTTTCAAGTATAATACCAGGGCGTTCAAAATGGCTGGTTCGGCCGCGAACAGTCAAGATAAAGTGAATCGTGTGTTCTGATCGGTTACCCGACCGGGCAATCGACCCCACGCGTAGGTCCCGCAAGAAGAAAGTTCTCTTGGGTATGTAATAAATACCTTACTGACCAAGCTCATTCGGTCAAGAAGCGGACTGGGTATTGGCCTTGTTCTTCTCTTCTTTTTTCCCTTTTTCCCGTTACTATATACTTAACGCAAAAAAAACAACAACAACTTGGCCAATATCGAGCTAGACTGCGGGCAGTCTCTTATTTTTCTGTTGAGACACGGAAGAATGCTTGAAACCCTTTCGCTCGCTGCGCGTGGCTTTGAGGGAACAAAAACGACCGTTCGTTGTCTAATATCGAGCCATCTTGACCTCACTCTCGGTCAATAACCATATATATTTTGCATGTTCTCCTTTCCGTATATGGTAAAAGGAAGTAGGGTACAAACAATCATACTTACGCCACCAGGCCTATCACACAGTCAGTGAAATGCTTCTCTAACAAATGAAAGATTGCATTCGCCTGCTCGACGACTTTAAAGAACAGGCTCTCGGGTGGAGATTTCGGCTCTGCGGACGGCAATGCTAACAATAAAGAAAAAAGAAAGCTTCCAAACCGGACTTCTTCAAAATAAGAGTTGTAACAAACAAAGGGGACATCATTTGTGGTATTTATAAGGCAAAACAGGTGCATAAGTTAGGAGAGATCGAGGAAGAAACAGAGAGATTTAGAGTGACGTTTACGGCAAACGTCAGATTCGAGTTGAGAATTTGTTAAATTAGAAAACGCGCAGCTAAAGACAATTCAAAACATATGTTTTAGACAAAAATAACGTAAAGCTACTAAGTTTGGGGTAGAAGGAATAAATAGTAAAGCACAAGTTAAGGAAAAACTTGGTCACATGGTACAAATTCACATTTGCCGTTAACATGACAGCTTTCATCCGTAAAGAAGGAGGAGAAACGACTGTGCTCTAAGAAAAACTGAAAGGAGTCCATAGCTATGAAGCTAAAAATTACAGGGTGCCCACTATACAGGAGTTTTATCAAGGATTTGCTTATCACTCAAGGGCCAAAGCAAAGGGAAAGGGAAGACCAGGGCTCTCCTGGAGAACAGCCCTAGGGGAGGAATAAAAAACATCCTCCCCCTCTCCCACTGTTTTACGTTGGCAAGGCAGACTATTTTTCTGACAATACACCGACTGATAACGAGTTTTTATCGCGTGGCAACCTTCAGTTTGGGGGTTTTAGAGAAGAAAAATAAAAAATTATTTATCAGCAAATGAATCAGATGCAAAGAAAAACACATTAAATACTGATGTCTTTTGACTAACCTTTCGTTTTTTTAAGCCACAAATAAAAGTACTGAGACGTACATTACCTTGCAAAGTCATATTGAGGGCATAATCAATGTGTTCAATGCACAGATTATAAAGCAGCTTAAGGTAGATCTCCACTCCATTAGTGGCCACGTCAGATGGCGACGATAACTACAAAGTAAATGCCCTGCACTGTTAACATTCTCTTACGAGTCATCCCGCGGGCCTGGGGTCCATTTCTCGAAGCCCCCGATAATTAACGGATCCGGAAAGCTGTTGTTGTTTACGTTCAAGATCGAATTTTCGTTAGTTTTGCAGATTATATGAGAAAACTATCAGTTAACAAAACAAAATGTACTAGTTTGTTTGGTAGGACCAACCTACCAGGGTGGGGGCCCAAAAGGCGGGTGGGGACTTAAATTAACTTAAAATCTGCAATCGTTTCCTTTGTTCCGGGTAATTTTTTAGCAGGGTATAAAGGATAACTGGCGGATTAAAGGGTATTTGAAAAGCGATGAAGCACGAAAAAGCTCGGGACACAGTGGCAAATATTTCCTACTAAATTTTAAGCTGACTACCATATTTATCACACTCTCTCCAATCTATCTCTGCTTTTAAAATCAAAGATTGCAGCTACATGCAGGAACAACTGAGAGCTGGCTTGCCCCCCCCCCCCCCCCCCCCCCCCAAAAAAGGACCTGTACTGCTGGGTAGACAAAATCCTGTGTTGTCACCTTCTGGACGGCAAAACATCTCTGAACGATCTTCGTTTCAGTTGTTTTTCTTCTACAAAATTGAACTAGGGATATTTGTTGTCGTTGTTGTTGTTGTTGTTGTTGTTGTTGTTTTAGTTAACGCCAGGGTAGGAAGAGTTAAAACAATTTAAGACAATGGTTCTTAGTTTACTATACCGTATAATGAGGGGTGCAAAGAATTCAGTTCAGTGAAACTAGGTTGTAAAATGTAAGCCAACTTGCTCACCAGTTCGCATCTTTTAAGTGCCATCTTATTTTCTTGCAGAAGACTAACAGCTACGTCTTGAGAGAGCAGCGTTTCCTTAGTGGACTCCTGTGAATTGGCGTGCGTCCTGAGTGGTATTCGCCTACTGATCTCCTGACTTATGAGGCTAAAAAATATCACGCAAATTCTCAGTAAAAAAAACTTGGTACATGTAATTATGACTTTTGTCCCATTCAGAATGAATAAATAACTTATGCTTGTCCGACCAAGCAAACAACGGAAAGAAATAATCTAAAATTAAACAGAATGGAGTTAAGAATCCGGAGTGGCCGGGGGGGGTAACCAGTTGGCTCTTTATAACCGTGGTCGAGGACTACCGAGAACAAATCCAGCTAGCGCTCTAACTGCTCGGCCACGCTAAATTGTGTGCTACAAAAAAATTGTCCTTGCTTCTCTTGCCAATTATACGCTCAGTAAACTATTTTTCCGTGGGGGGGTGGGGGGGGGGAAGAAGGGTGAGGGTGGGTGACCACCACAGGTTTCCCAGCGAAATGACGTCTGACAAACGAGCGCTGAGATTCCACACTGATGACGCGTGACTATCCAGAGCTGGGTAGTGCTTCTGATTGGTCGTGCGGTGAGGGACGTTTGCTTCAGCCAATCAGAAGCACTACCTAGATCATCATCTGGAATTTCTACCCTCGTTTCTCAGACTTCATTTCGTAAGGAAATCAGTGGTGGCGCCGGGAACTGTCGGCTGTTTTCTCAGGCTAATTTTACTTTTAGCGTCTCAGACTGGGGGCTTATTTTTCTCAGTGCCTCAGGTTTAGTTAATAGGGTGGGGTAGGGGGCTTCTTAGGGGCAGGGGTGGCCTAAATACAGGAAATATACTGCAGGCGCGTTTGCCCCTTTGCTTCAATTTGCCGTTATAAAAAGTTCTACCCTTAGTCAAGTCGTTTATTAAGATCTGCGTGCACCGTGGTGTTTATCGTCGAAACTGTCCCCTCGTTTTTTTAGCAAATTTGTTGAATATATTTAAAAAAAAACTTAAAACAAGAAGAGTAACAAAGAGATCACCCTACTCACCTGGTACCTGTCGGCTTGTCTCTTTTTTCGTGCTTAATTGAGTTATAGTATTTCTCCAAGATAACTGTGGATTTTTCTGATATGTGTGCCAGCTCTGTTCTAATAGTGTGAGAACAAAACAACAAGCAAGGCCTCGTGACAGAGACAAAACTGAGCTTACAAGTTCATCACCATCGTAAATCGATAAAGGGAGAAAAAGGAACTCTACTACAGCCATCAGCAAGTAATCTTTCACCACTAGAATTATTGCACATAAAACCATCGAAATTCAAATTCTCATTTCTTGTCCCTATATGTTTTCAAAAGAAGTACTGGGGAGAATTTGTTAAAATATTCCCTGATCATGTCCTCAAAAGATCAGGGGCACCCAACGAGAATACAGTTCAAAACCACTAGCTTGCTAAACGTATTTTAGTATTTAAACGGTAGATATAGTTATATTTTTATCCCCTAAAAATTTTTCAAATTTTTACAAATTCGCGTTTTTCGTTTGACGTAAACGTGAAGCTTAACAACTGATAAACTTGAGGTCGACTGTGCGCTCATTTTACAACCCCCCTCTCCATCAATGCTCCGTTTTAAGGGTGTTTAAAGAGAAGTTGAAATAAGGATGTGGTGTCAAGGGGAATCGATCTCGGCACCTCGCACTCCTTCACTCTCGCTACACTGTTTTTTTGTACCGAAGGCCGCGCACCAACCAACTGTGCCACTAGGGCTACTCTAAGGGCTTTAGGCGTTAAAGGAGCTGTGTCACGAAATTCAGCCAAATTAGGAAATTACAAACTGCCCGTTAAATTAGGAGAAACATAAAAATAACCGCTTAAAACTTTAAGGAAGGTTAAAATAACACAACAGAAACAACAGATGCCACGGATGGGCGAAACTGAAGAAGATTGAAACGGATTGAAAATAGGGTTTTTGAAAACTGTTCAGCCTAACAGTTTTTCAAAGTTGATCCCTGCTGCTTGCAACTTCAAAAATAATGCTCAGGAGACATATTTGTTTGTCTCGGGTCTCTGATTTTGTCATTTACATGTAATTTCTTTACTTACTTTAAGTTCCATAGCGATTGAGGGCAAGTAATTGGCAAAATTAAACAAAATGAACTGGACTGCCGTGACACAGCCCCTTTAACATTTGTTTCTGGATGAAATCCTACGAGGAACTCTTAGGGGAAAACCTCGTCAGTTACATTTAATTTCGGAGTGAACAATACACGTAAAAGAATGGAATTTTAAATGGCTTTTAATTTTGGGTGCTGAAAGAGAAGTGGCGACTTTCTGTCGTCGTTTTCATTCGTAGAGGCTGTGTCACAAAGTCTAGTCCACTTGGTTTAGCACTGCCAAATACACGCCCTTACTAATTCTGGAACTTAACCGAGAGTTAACAAAATTACTTGTAAATGACAAAAACACAGCCTCCGGCATGACAAACGTGGCCTTCCAAGCATTATACGTAAAGTTAAAACAGCAGAGATGAACTGTGCAAAACTATCAGGTTGAACAGTTTTCAAAGACCCAATAGCAATCCGTTTCAAACTTCTACAATTTTGTCCATCCGTGACTTCCTGTGTATTTGCAGGTTTGTGTACAGCCTCCTTCAGTGTTTTAAGTGGTTATTTTATATGCTCAGTGCCCATCCCCTGAATTAGACTAAATTTTGAGACATAGCTCCTAAATTAAACTCGATCGCTAACACTTACAGCTACCGCACCTGATATATGCCTGCAAATATTCACTGAACATATTCTTCCTCAGCCGCTCAAGAAAGTTAGAATCAGATCCAAGCTTGTAAACAGAGAGTCTTTCACCAAGCTTCTTGGCTCTGATAACAAAGCAAAGGAGAAAAACGTTAAGACTCGTCATGCTCAAGCTACTCCAGCGGTCCTTAATTCCAATCCCTTCCGATCCCTAAGATACTTTAGGACCATTAGTTTTTGTTTCACTTACAAGGACCATTTTGGAAAGTGGATGAAACAGCTGATTCAATGAAACCTTTAAAATGGTGCTGTTTGTTTTTTCTTGTGTTCAAAAGATTTTCCCGGATAATTTTCTCTGTTTTTTTAGAGCTTCCAATCTGTGGATGAAATTAAAACTAAATGTTTTTACCATTCAAATTAAACATACCAGGCCAGGTTGTTCAAAGCAGGGTTAACACTTTAAGCCCTAAGAGTGATCAGCATCAAATTTCTCCTTGTAATATCAATGCTCTGTAAAACAGAGTGGTCATGAGAATTATGGACATGATCACACAAGATGAATTTGCTTGATATTTTATCAACTTCTCTCCACTGCTTCAGTAGGAAATGAATGCAAGGCAACAATGAGAATTCAAATTTTGATCTTGGGGTTTAAAGGGTCCAGATAAGCCAGGATTAGTGCGAGATCTGGCTTCAGATCTGACTATGGACAAAGGAAATTCGTATAAATTCTTTTAGTAAAATCCAACTAGTGGTCTATTATCAATGCTGCGTTCTGATTGGTTGAGCTACTACTAGGCTGTATGTTATAGCCCACTAGTAGCGAAAAGCGAGAGCTTTTTGGCGGCAAAAAAGGATTAAAGTCTAGCTTTAACTAGCTAAAAGTTTTTTATTCTCAATATTTTTGACCAACTAGTTGGATTTCACTAAAACAATTATTCCTCTCGCCCTCATGGCCTCTGAGTAAACAGCCCATTCAGCGTTCAGCCTCATGGGCTATTGACTCAGAGCCCATTCGGGCTCGAGGAATAATTGTTAACCCTTTAAGTCCCAATAGTGACCAACAGCAATTTTCTCCTAACGATATCCATACATTATCATGAGATGAGGTTATGAGAATTAATTAAATGATCACCTAAGAGAAAATACTTTGATCTTTTATCAAATTCTCTCAATTCATTCTTTAAAGAAATGTGTAGAGATCAGTTTGGAGAATTTGTATGTGGATATTGGGGCTTAAAGGGTTAATTAGCCTGCAATTTGATGTTTGAATACTTTAAAACAACAATAATTTATTTAAAATCAACAGAGGAAAATAATGCTTTTGAACAAAAGAAACGGGGCCTGAATTAAACAATTAACCCTCGGGTAAACGATGATCCTCTTTCCAACAACTGGGCTCTGGGCAATACTTTCCTGTGGTACGGTTTTTGTGCTGAACAGGGTGGCTATAAGTATTGAGTCTCTGGACAAAATCGTTACATGAAAGTGCAGCATGCAAAGAAAGTAGTGGCCAAAAGCCCGGGGCTAGTGGATTTTGCTATAGGGCTAGCGAATTTAGTTCTTAACTTGCCCGACGGACAAGTGGAGGTTTTTGGAGGAATTCAAATTACAGAAGAACTGTGAAATCAATTCTGCTTATCAAAATGTTTTTGTGGCTAGTTGAAATGACGTTTGGGCTAGTACATGCTAGCTTCAGCTTGCCCGAATGGCAAGCTTTAAAAATGACTTTCTTTGCACCCTGAAGTGTGACCACTCAATTGAAAGTCACTGAGCAATGCTTCTTACAGTATGCTGTAGGATGTGACAATAATTGTTTCGCCTGTACAACCTGCTGATTTTGTACAAGGCAGTTTTAACCAAATCTCTAGGCCCAGCCTTTTCTGATAGTGGTACAATTGAGGCTGCCGATCAGATTTCAGTCAACTCATGCATGAAAAAAAAACAAACCTTTCATAAAGTATTTGTAAGTTCTTGAGTGATTGCTCTTTATCTTCACCAAAGTTCATCAGTTTTTTATCAACATGTTTCTACCACAGGGAAAAAAAAATGACACTGATCATTACCTGAGAAAAAAATTGGGTAAGGCAGACAGTACAGCTATAACTGCTGTCCCATTTGGTCTGCCAAGCAGAAGGACTTAAGATGGCGTCTCATCCATAATCTCTGAAATTATAACTGCAACGGCTGACATATTTTTGATTTAACTGTTTTTGTAACAGAATTAATGTCAGTAAATTTATTTTTTCAGTTATTTACTTGAAAGCCATGCACTTGAGCAGTCAAAATGACAGGCCAACTGAAAGTTTGTCCAAACAAATGGCCATCTGCGCCAAACATTGTGTGTTGACTGGCCATTATTTTGAGCCCAGTATTAGTCAATAAAACCCTCAATAATAAGCAGAATGTTTAGATATCCACACCATAATAACAGTAATCTTCACACTGAGATATCAAAAGGCTTGCCTGGGAAACTTCGCTTTGTTTTTTTTTCACACCTTAAGTTCTTCCTCATGAACATTCTGCACCAATTTCCCCATGACCACCTCTGCATTATTACCAAACACTTTGTCGACCATGCTGTGAACCTGCTCACACAGTGGCATCACATCTTGAAACACATCAGCAGAATGAAACTGGCCCTGTCCACAGAGTGAAAACAAGCAACCATTAAAGGGGATGTGTCATGGTTGCCTAGCTCATTTCGTCAATATTGCCAATATCATGCTTCCTTACTTGCTATGGAATGTTGATGAAAAAAATTACTTATAAGTGAAAAAATCACAGCTTCTTGTCAAACAAATTTATCCCTCTGGTATTATATCAAATCTTACAAACAACAAAAATGAACTTTGAAAATACTGCAACATAATTATCAAAAACACTAGGGAGGGGTTTCATCCATGCCCCCTTGTACCATGGTGGGGATATAAATCTGCAAGTACATCGGAGGGTTAAAAAATTTACAGGTAAAGTAATCTGTCTTATAAACCTTTGATCTGTGACAGAGGACCTACAGGTTCACCATCCAATGATATGAAAGCTACTGAGAAGTGAGTGACCCATTTCAATCCTGCATTATTTCTATTCACAACTAAGGTTATTTTGTAAACTGAAAGTTGGCTAAACAAATAAGATAAATATTGAATTCATGAAGATTATCACACCTGCTGACTCTGCTCTATGAATGAATCTATGCACTGAGAGTAGCCCTGTAGAAAAAAAGATTAAAAACTTAGCCACAAAATTACTGCATTAATTTGTAGATAAGGCTCTCAGGGGAATCAGCCTATCGTCATTTCAGTTATTAATTGTTAATAACTACATTATTGGGGGCGACAAGAGGACCCTGCAGACTAATCTTGGTCACTCAGCCAAACTCCAATAACGGTATAGGGAAAGTTTTTCCAAAAATCTGTCCTCATTCTTGGGATACTCGTGTTGTACCAACTAATATCAGGGGCACCTAATGACGGTTTTCTCCTACGTGTAAATGCATTTAAAACACTTCTTAGGCTATCCAGAGTACTTCCAGATTTCTAGAAAGGAATTCTGAGTGGCGTTATATACTTTGTATTTGTTCGGTCATCCTAGGGGAACTTGAGTCTTTTTTAAATAATTATTACAAGGGTCTCAGTATTATTTTCCCGAAAATTTTCGATGCAATTTGAAGTTTTGCTAAAGCAAGAATTTTTCTGATTCCTCTGTCCATCGCATTTTCAAATCAGAAAATTTTAGATTTCCTTTTTCGACGAAAAATAGCCTTACCTGGAGACTGAAATGCAAAAAATTGAGCTTTAGAAAATTGTAAGGAGTATATTAGATATACTTTGAAAATTGCTCCTGAATGGATTAGCGTCTAGAAATGTTTAGCCTTCCTCAAGCTATAAAAGATTCTAGGCAATTTTTCTTCTGTGAACAGATATTTTACAGAAAACTGACTTTGGGTGCCCCTGAAATATACCGGTACATGGTATGTGGCCGTAGAAGCCCTAGTGTTGAGTTTAAGGTCTGTACTGATGTCACAGTAATCATGCACATGATCATTGTTCCATTCACAACCACACGTAATTCAGGTACACAAGTACTGTATTCAAAACTGTACTAAATGTGAGACTTTTCAATTCCCATTGCCAGCTGGGAATCTATTGACCAAGGAAAATGAAAGTAGAGCCTCATCTCAGCTTAGTGCGGAACAAGTCTAGAAATCCATGTAAATTAAGTTTATTCAGGTTTGACTCCAGTGCATGGTTTTTATATTTTTCAAGCAAGTTACGTTGCTTGTCACTTGAAAGTTTTAATAGGCTTTAAACTCCGGTGGTAAATTAAAGCTTTTTTTATTATTTTCCGTTGGATATCAAGGGCCTTCGTTCATTGAACAGGGATTATATATTTGATTGAAAAATAAGACTTTGTGCAGTCATGATTACTTAACTTCCGTCATGTACTAGCTACTGTCTCAATGTATCTTTGCCTATAAATATAGCCGTCTCTCCTCGCTCCTAACTATTTGAAGGCATATTGTACTTAAGCGACCGTGAATAAAATCATTGAATGATTAAATATGAGTTTTGTTTACTGTTAGTGATTCCTTTTGTTGACACTGGAACTAAAAGGGCTTTCCCTAATTATTATTTTTTTATTGTGTAGGTAATTACCTACACAATAATTATTATTATGAAAGCAGTTCTTATCAATCACATCTCCAAGGTAAACTTACATGTTCACCAGCACTTCTTAGCAAACACCTACTGCTAGTTCTATATTTTACCTTAAAGGGCAGTAGAGTCTCTGCGCAGGTTCTCATTCTACTGATGCTTCCCTGGTGATGAGCCTCTTTAAATTCTTTGATCAATGCCTCCTCCACTCGATCATGGCATTCTGCAGGTACATGTACAAGTTAGTGTAATAAGACCCAGGACACCCAAACAACTGCAGTCAGTAACCCGTGCCTACCCATCATGAATCATCTTCCATACGCCACCGTATTGTTGCAGCCGCAATCAACCAGATGATCAGCCCTGTTCAAAAAATCACCTTGTCATTATGACCAACATTATTGAAAATATTTACAAATTTACAACCATATCCTAATATATTTACAATGGATAAAAAAGGAAAAATTAAAAAACTAAAACAACTATTAAACCATATTCTACCATCTAGCCTGGAAAAACTCAAGATGGTGTTGGACAAAATAGTCCCAACCACTTTCTTACTGTACAGTCTTGTAGTACAGTCATCAATTTAATGATCTTTTTGGGTGCCCAGTTGTTATCTTCTTTATTAATCATAACCTTATTAATATCAGGGCTGTCAATATAAAAGCAGCCACAGTATTGAAATGACGGTTTACCCATAACCAGTGATTTTGTTTTGAATGCAAAGTATAACTGAGTATCGTCGGCGAATAGATGACCTCTTATCACTTTAGCAAGTGGCGCAGTATACAGAAGGTAGAGAACAGGTCCAAGAACTGAACCTTGGGGAACCTCGAACCATTGCAGTACAGTTCCTCTGATGCCAAATGATTTCTGCCGTGCCAGCAGCAAGGAATGGTTAACGGTATCAAATGCTGCCGACAGATCCAATAAAACAAGGAAAACATTCTCGCCCTTATCCAATGACACATAAAAATCTCCAGAGATGCAAAATAATTTTTGGCATTCATCCCATAAGACGCAAAGATCGATTGATCAATCTGGAGACGTTTTTGAAGAATATCCTGTTTGTGCGATTTCTGTGGCTGTTCTTGAGGCAGTAATGTTTAACGATGCATATTTGTTTTAGTCTTTGTTGTGCTTGAGAATAGAAGGAGTATATTTTTATTTCTGAATCAGTAAACTGTAATACCGAGTTTCGGAGTGTGTCTTTAGATTAACCCCATGGTTACATAAAGACCCAGGGATTCGTGTTTTTGAATTATGGGACTCAATGGCTCTGGACTTGGACTCATGATTTTTCACAGGATGAGTCCCAGGACTCACCATAACTATTTGTAATAAAATCACTGCATACCATCTTAACAAAAATTTATAGTGTTAATTTGAGCTTCCCTCTTTGATCACCCATGATATCAAATGAGCACAGTCTTAACAGGTCTTGTGGGACCTTACAGCCCCTAATGACAGCTCTAAATATGACCAGCAGTATGCATTACGAATGACGCACAATGGCCAGTCAGAAGCAATCAAAACCAGGCAAACCATTGCACGATTAATGCATAAGGTCAATAATTCAAATAATTCCTTTACTTAAAGTCAGGCTAGACACCCACCTTTGATTTTATCTTTGACAGGGCCGAACCTAAAATAGAAATGAAAATAAATTACACACATTGATCAAAAACTTTGGTGGCTCTGTTTAGATTAACAAAACTTCAGACAAAATTGCCAAAGTGGTTATGCTGTTTATTTCCTTTTCACATTTGTTTCACCGAGCTTCAAATTTACCATCTTTCATCCTTTCATCATACATTACAATCTCGACATTGCTGATCCTAGCAGTATGCAGGACGCATGTCAAATATGAACCAAGTATATGGCCTCGCTCTCCATGAGTTCTCCGTAGCTCAAGCGGATAAAGCACCCGCCCGGTGTTTGGGAGGTCATAGGTTTGAATCCTGTTGGGGACTCAGATTTTTTCTTTGTCCCACGCTTGTGATGTACCGATTATTTCATTTTCACATTTGCTTCAGCAGGATTCAAATTTACCATCTTTCATTCTTTCACCATGGTTATTGGTTAAATGGTGTGTTGTAGATTGAGCCCAACATTGTTGATTGATCAATATCATGCACTAGTACACCTGTACATACCTCTCTGAAGGTAATTCTTGAGCAATAAGTGACAATTTTTGGATAATGTTTGCAGCTTCATGAATCTACCAAAAGTAAAAAACAATAATAAAAAACATTATTAATAATGATGCAATCAATGGCTCTAGCCTACTAATAATATTAGTATGTGTAATCAAAATGGTGAGACCCACAAATTGGCCCTTGCTCACCATAGAGCCTCCAGTAGCTCAAGTGGTTAGAGCATCCAACTAGATCATGGAGGGTCGTGGGTTCAAATCCCATCTGGGACTCGCATTTTTTTTTCCGAGTCCTCCTCAAATTAATATCATGTTGTTGTTGTTTCATCTTTAATATAATCAAATGGTGACGAGTGAAATTAGGGAATAATTTCACATGCGTTTTGTCCAAAGCCTAATAATTTCCCGAGCCTTTAGGCGAGGAAAATTATTAGGCTTTGGACAAAACGCAAGTGAAATTATTCCCTAATTTCACGAGTATGCCATTTGATTACCATTAATATCATGGGTGACGAACTACGTTAGCAATCGAGGATTTTCAAACAATTAGAGCTGAAATTTGGCTTTAAGTTTTCAGAATATTTCGACAACATACCTCTAAGAATCCTTCTTGATGTGCTCTTTCGTGTGTTCAGGTTTTCTAAAGCATCTTTTTATGCCCTGACATCTTCATTCATGACATTTGAAAACTTCGTTGCCATCTTGACACTGAGACGTACGGCACGTTGCCATGGCAATTTAGTAATTTCACATGTGAAATTACAAATTAACGCTGAAATTTCGCACCAAAATTAAGGAGTAATTCCTCACCTATGATATTATTACTATAATTATCTGAGGCTATTGAACTGACTGGCTGACCACCAAGCACTGGAGTTAACTTTCATCCCTGGAATGTTGCCAACATTTAGCGCATACCTCAAACTGATCACTGAAGACTTTTGGACTCAGTTTTCCAGTGGCAAATTCATCAAAGTACTTCATGAGCTCTTGGGCCTCGAGAGCTCGAGATCGTGGGGTGTTGATTCCCTCTAGTTGATCTCCCAAGTGAACAACCTTAGTGGCAACATAGTTTATTCTGTCATCTAACTCTTGGAAAAGGCCTGAAGCTGTCTGTTGTGAAACAAAAATAACAGCAAATCAAAATGCACAGATAAGGTAAGCAAACAAAGGGTGCTAAATAATTATTTCCAATAACAAAAAAATCTGACAAAGACAATTGACATGCTTGGTGCCAAAAGGGTGAAAGTGACTTAGTTAATAAATCCAGCAAAGTCACCACTTACACTCCTTCTCCATTAGGATTGTTAACCTGATTTGCTGAACTTACTCAATTATTTCAATAATATTTATTTTGTGTGTTTCCTTGTAGTTACTGTCTTGCGTTATTTGAACGATTTAAGTTTTACTTGCATGTATTGTCAAATGGTAATTTTATTAATGCTTCATGCTATTGAGCTTAGATACTGTATTTATAAATTTGTTGTCGTTAAAACTTAATAGAGATTAATTAAAAATGGATGACAAAAAAAAAGCACGGAAATCATTTTAATACTGTATGAAGAAAACAATCACAGCACACCTTGTAAGTTGTCTCCAGTTCTCTGACTTTCTGCTTATGTTCTTCTTGTTCCTTTGAACAGAGTTCTTCAAGTTTATTAATCCTCCCTTGCATTTTTTCATCTAAGGCTGTCAGTTCACGGATGGTTTTTTCAAAAACATCCGACAAAGCTCTGGGATCAAAAGCATCAGCACCTCCTTTGGATCCTCCACCTGCCACGGTAGTCGCCAAACGTTCCACATATTCATAGGCATCAAAATCCCCCTAGATGTAAAAAAATAATACCAAGGATTTATGAAACACATCAAGAATACTGTTAAGTACTTAATTGTGACATCACGACCAAACATAAATTGAGGCTGGGAAATTTTCAGAGCAAAACAGGGATTCTTCATAGTCTACACAAAAAATGACATCACTTCAAGATTTTACCAAAATAAAGGTAACTTGTGAAAATGAAACGATCAGCATGTCATGAGCGTGGGACAAAAAAAAATCTGAGACCGCGACAGGATTCGAACCTATGACCTCCCAAACACCGGGTGGGTGCTCTATCCACTTAAGCTACGGAGAACTCATGGAGAGCGAGGCCATTATACTAGGTTCATATTTGACATGCATCCTGCATACTGCTAGGATAAACAATGTTGATATTTCACTGTGTGGTGAAAGAATGAAAGATGGTAAATTTTAAGCTCGGTGAAACAAAAACTTAACAAGTACCCCCTCCCTATCAGCTAAGCATCCTTTATCTAATAAGCAGAACCCCCCTTCTTGGCCATAACTTAGATAGGTTCCTAGCCCAGGGAGTAACTTTCATCAAAAAGTGATCCTAAATGAGACCAATCTTGGCATGGCTCAGGCTTTATTGAACTCCGAAAGGAGACTTAACTCCAGCCAGAAACTCATAAGGGGTTGAACAACCCCTTATGAGTTTCTGCTCCAGCATAGTATGATATATTTTATACATGTAGATATTTCTTACACAACCCTAAATGATACCTTTCCAAGCAAATAATTATATTACTTTTCTGTCCTAATAATTGAGACCAACATCTGCACTATCTTACCCCATAATAGAGATTATGAGCACCCCTTTAATATAAGATTCCCCACCACGTTCTAAGATGCTTATTTTACTGCCCTGATTTCAGCCTTAATAGAGGGACAATTTAAGAGGACAGTACACATCATGCCTAAGTAATTGGACAGTACTCGCCATCAGGCATGCGCTTAAAAAGGCTTTTCTCACTGCTAGCAAAAAATAATCTTTGAATTTCTTATGTTATCACATATATATATCACATATATATCACAAATTTTGTTAAAGTTATGATCAATTGATAACAGAACTTCATGTCGTGCAATTCAGTCTGCAATCATACTCTTCATTAAACAAATCGGACTCCCGCTACGCAGTCGTCAGATTTTGTTAGGGAACGCGTCCAAATATCGGCATCGGGTCACACCGACGCCGATCAATTGGGCACCGATTTTTTCCGATTCCGTTGAAGGTCGGACCCGATTTTATCGGTACCGAATGAAACGGAATCGGCAACGGGTCTCAAGTCTTTATCGGGCCAATTAACAAAGGTCATCAAAAATATCTGGCAGCTCAAATAACCCGTCACAAAAGCAAAAGCAAAAGCGTGAATGTCGTTTTTTATAACCTTATCTTTCTTATAAATGTGTCTTATTTGAACCGAAATTTAACGTCACAGTTTCGAACATATTTTGTTTGTATTTCCTATGACAGAGTATAACCAGAAAATATTAAATTTGTGTATCAAAATGGGTACGAGAAGAAACAGCAGGTCATTCAACAACACTGAAGAGCATCTTTTGAGTGAAAGATGGCGCAATGTACATTGCAAGTGTACGATCTCAAAATGATAATTTTAAAATAGCTTGAGCCTGTGCTAACTGGAACCCAAAACGCATGATTATAGGAATCTTTGGAGGAATAAACAGTTTAGGACTGTAAACGAAAAAAATGCAAATGTTGTTACCATGTTGTGTACTTTAACTGCTAAATTGCCACAGGAGAGAAGAGGACATCGTCTGAGAATCAGGCTGCAAGTTGTTTATTGGTTGCATATGAACTCAAAAAAGTGACTGATAGAGGCGTTCAACTGGTTTTCTCTTTCTCGATTCTCTTTCCGCTATTAAATTGAGTCGAACTTACCGGATGTATGCACAGTTTGCTTCAGTTGAACACTCCAGTAAAAAAGGTTCTGATTTTTGTCAAAAAGTCAGCTACCTAGAGTCAAGCGCAAATTTTTCTAGGTGCTGAGAGTGGAAAGCAATTTCACGTGGCACCATGCTCAAGCTCACAGAACATACAGAAAAGTCGCTAAGCCATTCTCTCTTTGGTAGCTCCTGTATGAAACTTCGTTCCGTGTCTTCCGTGACTCGCAAGTGTGGGAATCTTTCAGTTTTTGTTGCTAATTCCCTGGAGACAATCTGAGCCCGCAATCTAATTGGTTCAGATCGCATTACACCTTGCGTTTAGGATCGTTGAATGAAAGACGCAAGTTTTCGTAAAGTTTATCCCATGGTTTTGCTCTCGCTCCGCTCGCTAGGAAACTCGTTGAGGTCTACTTGTAACAAGTCTATGAATCCAGTTGTGTTTCGAGAAAGTGAGTTCCGGTTGTGTTTTTGGATTGCATTGTTAGAAAGTATCGAGTAAAGAACACACTACTGAGTAAGGTGTTTTGTTTGCTATATATCAACGAAGAACAGTGGTGTTTTGCATCGTAATATTTAACTCCTTTTAATTTTCATAGAATAAATTTTATGGAGCAGCGTGGTGTTTGCGATCGACTGAAGGAAATACCTCTGCAAAACGCCGAAAATCACGTGTATAGGCACGCATCAAATCAACAAACTCGAAACACAACATGCAGGAACATACAAGTATTGCTATTTGTTATGGAGTAGAAAAAAGGTGCAGTCGCTTGAAATTACTTTGGAGTGAAACGAATCTATCATTATTTGGTTTCGTGACACGCTTCATTTTACATATCAGATAAAATAATATGACGATGACACATATGAACATCAGAATGTCAACCGACTCCGATTGAATCGGCAAAGTTTTTATCATAATCGGAAACGGCAACTGGTGCCTATAGATCGGTACCGATTCCGATCAATTGGAAAATTAATCGGGTCCGTTTCCCATGATCGGGTTCCCTACCGATATTTGGACGCGCTCCCTTAATGATTCGTATGATTACAGACCGAATTGGACTCCACTCAGTCCTGTTACCATTATTAACATTGAATGTTTCCTCATCAAATCCGGTTTTGTGTCACCACAAATTTGTGACGATCAGAGTTATTGAGTATTTTTTGCAAAAATGACGTCATGTGTCGTGCGTGATGACGTCATTTGTCATCCCTTCCCTATCAATTCTCAATTATATTTGAAGAAGAGGGGGGTTGAATAAGGATTGTATAAAACAACACAAAATTTGTTCACATCATACTATACTGTTCAGTAAATAAACTAGCTAGAGGACCGCCTGAATTGCTTAAATCAGCTATAAATAAACTCAATACTATAACAAAAATTATAAAATGCAACCCCTCCTTCACCGGAAACTAACTTGTTAAATCACTTTTGGAGCCTCTAAACCTTCAACCGAGTGAAACAAAACACATACCTCGAAATCTTCAAAAGCAGCCATCTTTTACAAGGGAGGACGGGTGAGTTAATTGGCGAATTACATAGCGAACACGCAGGCTTTTCCCAACTATTTGTAACCGAAAATACCTCCACCTCTGTCCGCCATGTTTGTTGGACCCGCCGACAAGAACTAGTGCCAGTCTTTTTCGATGTTACGCCTAGTTAATTTTTGCTGAGAAGATTGACAAGATCCATTGGAGAGATGTAATTCCATACATAGAGGTATTTGGTTACTATTCTTAGCTTTTTCGCAACAAACTGCGAGAAATCATCTCAGGCATTTAATGTTCATGTTTTTATTATGTTACAGGGCACTTCCGCCTCAAGTGCAAATCACGTGTCATTGTTTTGCTATATATAGTTTTTAATGCAGGAATCAGACTGCCAAACATTAGTTGACAATGAGTCACTTCCAGTGCCCGATTTGAAGGAAATGGAGATATCTACCAATGGTAATGTAGTTTCAGAAAGCAGGGTTTCTGGAATTGACAGAAGATGAAAGCCAAAGGCATGTTTAATTTGTTACCCTTCTTCTTTTCTAGTTTTTAACGTGTTTCTTTAGTTTGCAATGCCTTGAAATTTGCCAGCTTAATTTATCCATTCTGCATATAAATGACTGCAATGATGTTGATTTTTTTCCTACTGTTTATTTTAGGCCAGCTGCTCAAGACCACAGAGAAAAGCTGCGTGAAATTCTTCACAGTCAGAAAGCACAATATGCTATCGTAATTTTGGTTGTTCTGGACACGATCATTGTTATTGCAGAATTACTTCTTGATTTAAGAGCTATCAAAGGTGAGTGCAGGCATATTTGCTGCTGTCAGTGTGTTTTGTCGTTCCTCTGCAATCTATTGCATCTGCCAGATGATGAACCAGCTAGAGGTTACAGTAATTGTATATGTTGTACATGCAGTGTTTAAGTCAAAGTGAAATCCAGGTTGAAATGGTTTCAGACTCTTTTTAGGGTGAAGAAGCGAAAGGAACTGAGACGTGACGAGCTTTGAAGCGCGAACAAATTTTATGCAAATTATATAGCTGGCTGCACATTGAATGTGCAGCCAGCTAATTTGCATAAGTAATTCAAAACCAAGGTCTGACAACTCAGGCTTTTGAGGTGTCGGGTGAATACTGTAGGACTTCCATAAATTGCCCACAACAGAGTAACTCAAGCTACCATAAACTGAAATGAATTCCGATTAAAGCAAGGTTTAAATCTCTTTCTGCTCCGCTAACCACTCTTCCAAGGCACATACTATTTCGGTAATAATAAAACGGCATAAACATTTTACATAGCGCCTTTTTCAGTCTCGGGTAGTAAGATAGTATGAAATGGAGGTAAACTCAAGAATTCAGTTTTGTGGCTGCATTGCAACTTTGAAACTTATTTAAGCCACTTCCTTAAAGGCTAGGAAAATGTTTGTCATAAAATTTGTAAAAGTAGCTTCTTCTACTGTAATTTAACATTACCGAATTTCCGAACTTAACAAACGCGCTAACTACTTTATAGTCCTGTATCAGTACGTTAAGGCATCAAATCCATAAAGCCGACAGAAACAATTAACAGACAAGTACCGATATGATTTAAGATTTTTTTGTACTGCTTTTATATCAAGCAAATGAAATAGTCCTGGCAATAGGTCACCATCGCAAAATCACCAAATTCAGAGGCTCCTAGATCACTGACACAAAATACTACAATAACTGTTCTTATACTGCTCTTTTACTTCACTTTGTTCTTGGCAACACTTGCGCCAAAATCAGTTTTAAGCAGGTGCTGAAAAAATAAGATGGAATGAGAGAGAGCTGTTAATTGACCATGAATGTTAAAAAAGAATAAGAGTTGAATAAGATTATCACCTCCATAAATCAAATAAGTCAATGTTGTGTATTTTTTAGGTATACATTAGCCGGATATACTACAGCATTGATTAGAGTATTTTTGCAAGTTAATTGTAGATTTCAGCTAGGTATACACTACCCAGGATAGTACAGGAATGATTAGAGCATTTTTGCAAGTCAACTGTAGATTTCGGGTATACACTACCCAGGATATTAAAGCATTTTTGCAAGTTAACTGTAGATTTCAGGTATACACTACCCAGGATACTACACAAATGATTAGAGTATTTTTGTAAGTTAACTGTAGATTTCAGGTATACACTACCCAGGATACTACAGGTTAATACTATGCAATGCAGGTAACAAAAGCTCAGGAAGCAAAGGGACCCAGCATGACCCAGCTAGCAGGGGGTTCATTAGGGTTTTGAACAGGAGGGCAACTGAGTTTGACACCCGGGCAAAGAATTGGCAAGGCCATCCGGGCCTTGCCCCCTAGGGGGTCCGGAGAATTTTGAAATTCTATAGTCGCAGGGATGTGTTTTCCTACATTTTGAAGCTGCAGACAATGACTTTCAACAACCAAAAAAAGATAACTTTTCTAGACAATTTAATCATGATTTGATACCAATACCCACCACACAAATTGGACTTTTTGGTTCTCTTTTAATAGCTCTGCTCATAATAATC